AGTGCAGCCGTGTCCCTCTGCAGATCGTCTCCCAGAAAGACGAGCACTGCTGGGTCGGGGAGCTGAATGGCCTTCGGGGTGAGTGGCCGCCCAGGGGGCAGTGGAAGCCCTCCTCTCTGCCTGGAGTGGTTGGGACAGCCACTCAGGCCTTCTCTGTCCGTAGGCTGGTTTCCGGCCAAGTTTGTGGAAGTCCTGGATGAGCGGAGCAAAGAGGTGAGGGGGGGGCGGGACGGCCCCTGGTGGACTGGAGCACTCGGATGGCCTTCTGAGACCCCCTCTTCCCCAGTACTCCATTGCGGGGGACGACTCGGTGACCGAGGGCGTCACAGACCTCGTGCGTGGGACCCTCTGCCCAGCCCTCAAGGCCCTGTTTGAACATGGGCTGAAGAAGCCCTCCCTGCTGGGGGGTGCCTGCCACCCCTGGCTCTTTATTGAGGAGGTAGGTGTGGGCGGGGGCGAGGCCCTTTCCCACAGTGTCCCTGTGGGGCTGCCCCTGAGCCACTGTGCCCCTACAGGCAGCGGGCCGGGAGGTGGAGAGGGACTTCGACTCGGTGTACTCCCGCCTGGTGCTCTGTAAGACCTACAGGTGATGGACGCCTGGGGGTGGGGCGGGGCACGGGCAGGTGAAGGGGGCCGAGGCACTAGGAACTGAGGCAGGCCCCGCGCCCTCTGCAGGTTGGACGAAGATGGCAAAGTCCTAACCCCTGAGGAGCTGCTCTACCGGGTAAGGAATGGGGCCTCTGGGAGGGCGTTGGGAAGGTGGGGTGGGAGTGGGAAGGTGGGGTGGGAGTGGGGGAGAGCGACCCAAGTGACATGAGACCCTGCGCCCCCAGGCGGTGCAGTCAGTGAATGTGACCCATGACGCAGCACACGCCCAGATGGACGTGAAGCTCCGCTCCCTCATCTGCGTGGGGCTCAAGTGAGTGTCAGAACAGGGACCGGGGCTTTGGGGGTCCACTGGCCTGCATGGGACCTGTCACAGGCTGCAGGGCCAGTGCTGTGGTTAGGTGTATCTCCCACCAGGTCTGAGGAGGGCGGACAATGAAGCAGGGCAACAAGGGAGATGGGCTGCAGTGAGGCTGGTGGGCAAGGAGGCCACCCTAGACTGAGTGAGCCTGCCCGCCTGACGGTGCCCTGCCCTGGCTACAGTGAGCAGGTGCTGCACCTGTGGCTAGAGGTACTCTGCTCCAGCCTGGCCACGGTGGAGAAGTGGTACCAGCCCTGGTCCTTCCTGCGAAGCCCTGGCTGGGTCCAGATCAAGTGTGAGCTCCGGTAAGGCCTGGCCCCGGGTGGGGGCGAGGGAGAGGGAGAGGGCGAGGTCCTGAGGAGGCATGGCACCCGAGCTGGGCTCACCCACCCCTTTCTCACTGCCAGCGTCCTCTGCTGCTTTGCCTTCAGCCTCTCCCAGGACTGGGAACTTCCTGTGAAGAGAGAGGTGAGTGGGCCTGCAGCCTTCCCTCAGAGTGGGCTCTGGGGGTCGGTCCCCTGTCCATGGCTGACGACAAGGCCCATCCTTTCCACAGGAGGAGCAGCAGCCCCTGAAGGAGGGCGTTCAGGACATGCTGGTGAAGCACCATCTTTTCAGCTGGGACATAGACGGGTGACGGGCTACCACTGGGCAGGAAGAGTGACCCCAGCTAGTTGCAGGCTGGCTTTGGGGCAGGGGCTGGGAGGAGGGGTCCTGGGCTAGACCTGTCCCTCTGCCAGGGGGGCTCTTCCAGGGTCCGTGAGAATGGAAACCAACCAAAAAGCTGTGAGGGGTGACAGCACCCGCTGTTTGGTTTTTGCTCAGGAAGGGGGTGGGATGCAAGGCCCTAGGCCTGTAAATAAACTGTCTTAACAGAAAGGACGTCCTGGCTAGTGTTGGGCCAGGTGTTCCCTATCCCAGCAGGACTTTGCAGGAAGGGCTTGGGGCCCGGCCTATACACAGGTTGAGGATGGACCAAAAACAGCCAGTATATATTTTATTTTAAAAAGTTCACACAGCTCCCCACCTGTGCCCTAGCACTTATTATTGACTCCACCCCAAGCCCCTTGAGTGACAGATCAGACAGGCAGGGGTGGCTGGAAATTGGGAAAGGTGTGGCAGGGCATCTACATGTCAAACACGTGAGAGGTAAGGCCATGTCCATGTGTGCCACAATTCGAGCGGCCCCTGCGCCCACCCAGCGATGTATGTGAATATAGAGGTGTCAGAGGCGCCGTGGTTAAAGCGCTTGGCTGTTAACTGGGAGGGCAGGGAAACGTGGCAGTCGCTTCCATCAAGATCTCCGACCCCTGCAGGCAGTTCTACTCTGTCGTAGAGGGCTGCTGTGAGCTGGAGTCAAGCTGCTGGCGTGTGGGTGGCTATGCGAGCTATATACACCTGTACAGGAAACGTGCCACTGACCTACGTGGCTTCACTGTCCGAGACACGAGCATGGCAGGGAGCCCCTCAGGGCAGCCAGCGGGCACTGAGGTTGGCTGACAGGAGGCCCAGCATAGTTTCTACTTGGGGCAGGGGGAAGGATTAGCCTCTGCACAATGGCACCTCAGAAGAGGTAGCCGACAGACATGCCCACTCCGAGCTGCGCCACCTCTGGACACTCTGTTCAGTCTCCTGAAGAGGCAGCAGGCCTGTGGCTCCCAGCGGCAGAGGGAATCAGGCTTGGGGGTGCCCGGCTCTGTTTGGGGGGCAGAAACTACAAGCAGGAATCCCAGTGGAGCTGTAGATCGTGGCCATCGAGGAAGTCTGTGGAGAAGAGGCTGGGGGCTGTTGTGCTGAGGGGAGCCAGGCTCAGCACCGGGCCGCCTGACAGCTCCAGCCAGTCCATGCCGTCCAGGGGCCCGTCGGTCAGGTCCAGGCCCACAGGGCCACTGGGCTCAGGCACAAAGTGCAATTCGGAGGTGTCCATGGGCGAGGGCGGGTGGTCCAGGATGGCGGAGCTGCTCAGCATCTGGCTGTGGAGGTCATCAATGAGGGAGAGGGGCTCCGGGCCTTCATGCCCGCCTGTCAGCAGGGGCAGCCCCGTGCTGCTCTCCAAGAAGTCCTCCAGCCGCCCAGGGAGGGCAGGTGAGCCCGACGGAGGGGGCGCTGCAGACGGAAGCTCGGTGCAGGGCGGGGTGGGTGCAGTGGGCTTCTCCTCAGGCAGAAGTGCTGCTGGCTCCTTGAAGTCGGCTGGGATCTCTGTCAATCCGGGAAGCAGAGAGTTGGTCAACTGGGACTGCCCACTGGGGGGGCCCCTCCCCTGTGGGCGCTGGACCAGCCTCAGCACTGCCGCTTGGTTCAAGACTGGGCAATAAAGCGAGCACATGGGTGCTGGGATGGCAGTGCACACTTGACTGATCTATGCGCAATAATATGCACAAGGGACAAGTGCGAAACACTGGAAATGACCACAACAGGACAAGCACAGGGCGAATGAGTGCACTGTGGGAAAATGGTGAGAATAAGTATGCTCAACCCAGGGTTGCATGAACCTCACTTTGTCTAAAGCTGCACAAATGAAAAGGGTGTGTGTGTGTGTGTGTGTGTGTGTGTACACCACCTGTGGGAGCTTGCTGTGTCCCAATAGCCAGCCATCATCTCCCTCCCCAGGCTCTTCCCCCAGCCGACCCTGCACATGTCCACTGTCACTTGTTGCACTGCCATCTGACTCTGCTTCCCCTCCCACCTCCTACCCAGAAATCTCTGGGGGGCATTTCTCAAAACCAAACCCACTGCTGCAGAATCGACTCCCGACTCACAGTGACCCTGTAAGACAAAGGTGATCCTAATCCACTGCCCCTGTAGATTTTGGGGCTGTAACTCTTGACGGAGACAGAAAGTCTCTTCTTTTCCTGAGCAGCAGCTAGTGGTTTTGAACTGCTGGCCTTGTAGTTTGCAGACCAACACTTGACCACTATAACCCGCAGGACCCCTTCAGCTAGTCACAAGACAGCTTCTCCTTCCTGTCACCTCTCTATAGTCCAGAGATCAAATACAGACACCACCCAGCTGCCCTTTCAGCACCTCTGCCAAGTCACCTTGGGCCCCACCCTAAGCCAAATCCAGGGCTTTTTGATTCCTTCAATGAGTCAACCTTCCAGAATTTATCTAGCTTTGTCCCTTTTGTTGAGAGAAAACATTTAGAGCCTCCCCTCCCCAAGAAGCCCCTCACAAGACCTGTGCACAGTCCACCCACCGCAGGAAATGACCAATACAGTGCCTCTGGGACTGATGGCCTGCCACTGCACTCCCAAGTGAGGCCAGCTCTGTCACTAGATCCTTGTGCTTGTTAGTACTGCAGCACCCGGGCAGGTGCTTAACAGCTAGCTCACAGCTGTCCACATCACTGAGCCCAGGTCTGTGGTTCAACCCCTCCCATCAACCACCCCGGGCGGTATGTACCTCCACTCTGAATGAGGATATCAAACAGGTCATCCATCTGCTGGCTTGAGCAGCCATTTTCCTGTGGACCGGAGAGACAAGATGAGGGTTGGGAGCCCCCAGGCCCTGGCACCCTCCACCCAACCAGCCGGCTGCTCTCTCCACCTGTGGTGTAGGCTGCTGACTCACGGCGTCCTCGTAGCCTGGTGGCTCCTTCTTCAGGAGAGATACGGGGGGCCCAAAGAGGGGCTGCGGAGGGGGCTCCAAGTCCATCTGGGCAGGGCGGCCGGGGGCTGGAGAGCCAGGTGGGGATAAAGACTGGACAAGAATGGGGGAACAGACCAGCCTAAGAGGTGTGGGGAGAAGCAGGACTGCCACCTCCCCCAACCCCCTCATACAACCCAGAGGCAGGCTCCCCCTGCTACATAGGCCAGCTCTTCCAGCTCCTAGGGAAATGGGTGGTGCAGGGTGCCACCCTACCCTTTCCAGCTGGAGGTGGTCAGGGTCTAGCTTTCCATCCCTGTGGCTCACAGGGCTGAGACACACACACACCCACCCCCCCGGGAACAGTCTCCTGTGGGCAACAAGCTGATGACCAGCCCCAGTCTGGTCTCTGAGGAACGGAGCAGGAGCCCCAGACAGCCCCAAGCCTGACACAGTCTGCAGTTTCTTGTAGGGCAACTGCCTGAGGGAAGGGGCCAGCCAGCCAGGGACCTTCCACCACTGGAGCCAAGCCATGGAGTGAGAAGGACACCCTATGGCCCCTTAGGGTGACAAACCTTGGCAGGACCCTTGACCAGCCTGTCTTTTTCATGAGTGGAATGGTGAAGCCTCCTTACAGAATGAAACTAAGCTAGGATGCCAGCAGGTGGGAGGCACCCGGAGGGAGCTGCCCTGTCCTTTCTCTGGCCACATACCTGCTGGGGACTAGCACTGGGCAGGCCGGGGTTGTCTGTGTTGGTGTTGGTCACGGTGAGCACAAGGTGGGTCCCAGTAGAGTCAGTGACGAGGGTGGGAGGTAAGACCCCCTTGATGAGGCCAGAGCCTCGGGGGCCCAGGAGTAGCTGGGGGGCAGGCTCAGGCAGCCCAGCTTCCTGCTTCACCACCACCGCCTGGGGAGCGAGGGCTAAGGTGCCAGAGTCTGCGTGGTGGCCCGTGGGGGCGGCCAGGCTGGGGCTGAAGGGAGCTTCAGGGCCCTGAGAAGGCTGGCTCAGCTGGCAGCTAGCAAAGCCACTCTCCTGCTTCACAGTAGGAGCGGCCAGCCCAGGGCCAGGCTGCTGCGCCCGCTTCTCTTGCTCCAGCTGCAGTCGTAGCCGTTCCACCAGCTGCTGCTTTTGCCGGAGCATGCGCGTCAGCTCCTCAATCTGCTTGTCCTTCTCCTGAAGCATCTGGTCCTTGTCACGCCCCTCTGGCTCGGCCCGCACCCCAGGGCTCGGGCAGCAGGCGGTGGTCCGTGGGCCCTCCTCTTTCATGAGGATCTGCAGTGGCGAAGCCTGTAGGGTGAGCTGGGTCAGGGGCGACGTCACCATCTCACCAAAGGCATCACCAGGCGTGGAGTTCTCATCGCCTGTGCTGAGCAGAGAGCGCTCTGAGGGGGTGGGGGACACAGGGGGAGTGGAGCCCGTGCTGCCAAATTTCACCATGCCAGTGCTGGTCACTGTGGCCACCACCACTTCAGGGGGTGCCAGGCCTGCAGCCACCAGAGCTGGCCCTGTGCTCAGCCGGGCAGCGGGGAAGGCAACCACCACCTCGCCGGCCTTGGGCAGAATGGAGGCAGCTGGTGCCCTGGCAGCCCCTTGGGGGGTGCTGACTTGGTCTTGGTAGGCGCGCAGGCGCTCAATCAGGTCAGTCTTGGTGCCTGAGACGGGCAGGGACCGCAACTTCAGCTCCTGCTTCAGCTCTGCCACCTGCAAGGGGACAAGAGCCAGGTCAGCAAAGAAACTCGTTCAGAAAGTGATCCCTCCTGGACAGTCTGGGAGGACAAGTACCACTGCCCCCAGCCCCTTCCTGCCGCTACCCTGGCCACACCAGGTCCCAGGAAAATGCCCACTCTAGCTGCCACCACAAGCACATTGCCAAAGGCCCCTCCTGGGGCCTGTGCTCACGTCTGACAGTGACTATACTTTGTAGTCAAGAAAGCCGGGTGCCCCCATCCACTAGCACCCCAGGACCACGACCAGTGAGGGCAGAGCTCAGTTCAGTGCAAGTCTGCAGGGCCGGCACCCATGTCCAGCAGCCTGACTGTGGCTGGGGCCCCACTGGAATCTGGCACCACGTCCAGGCAGTGCAACCTGAACAGAGGCCGGGCAGGAACCTTCTGACCCAACAGGCCCAGGCCTGGGACCTTGGCAGGAGCTCAGCAGGTCCCATGGGGTATCAACTGGCAGAGTGGACAGTGGGGAGTGATGAACTATGCAGCCTAAAGTCTGAATTCTGGCTCTGTGATGGGGGGCCCTCTACCTCTCAATGCCCGTTATATGCTTGGGTGGGGGTGGAACTGTTCCTGACGCTGCACTGCCCAGTCAAGAGGAGAAAAGCAGCAGGCAGCTGCTGTGTGAGCCCTGAAGCCCAGCCTTGACAAGGAGAGGGCCCTGACACAGCACAGGGCTCCTGTGGGAGGGGCAGGCCACCTGCCTTCATCTCGTCCAGGTTGGTAGGCAGGGCCCCAGGCTTGCCCGTCAGCGAGACGCTGTTCTGTCTCGTCAGCCCATTGGATCCAGGGGCGCCCGAGCTGGAACTGCTGCTGGTGGTGGTGGTGGTGGAAAGGCTGCGCATCGGGGGGCCCCCACTGCCCCCCAGAGTCTCCCCTGCTGGCCTGGAAGGAAAGGCAAAAATGAGTCCCTCACAGACCGTGCCAGCTGCTGCAGACACGTGAGGGGCATTGAAGTTGGGGGTCAGTCCCGCAGGTCTGGTGTAGGGCACTCACTTTGGGGGGGCGGGCAGGATGGTCTGGTAGTTGTAGTGCTGCTGCTGCTGCTGGTTGAGGATCTGCAGCTGCAGGAAGAGCTGCTGCTGCTGCAGGATGCGGGCGTAGGAAGAGTCCATGGCCGGCGGGCCCTTGTCCTGCTTTTGGTCCGGGGGGATGTACTGGTGATACTTGAGTTTCTTCACTTTTGGCTTCAGCTCCTTGGCCTTCTTGCTGCGTTGCGACTTCTCGCTGGCAGACTTAGGTTGGCTTTGCTAAGGGAGACAGGGGCGTCAGTCCTCTGTCCCCACTGCCCCCATCAGACTGCACCCTCCAGAAATACCAAGGGGCCAGGGATAAGCCCAGGACTCCCTGAGACCATGTGCCTGTAGACTCCTCCCTAGGCAGCAGGGGGCCATCGTGGGGGTTCTGGTCTTGAGCCCTTTGGGTGCTGGTAAAGCCTGCCTCCCCTTTGGGTACAAGATCAGGCCTTGGAGAAGAACAAAGCCCAGCCCCCCAATGGGGCCGCCTGATGCTGAGCAGTGGCTCCCGTGGCCCAGAGCTTGTTGGTGGCAAGGAGGAGCAAGTACAAGTACGGGGGAGCCCAGAGCCTGCACAGCGTGTCCCTTGGAGAGAGGAGGGCATGGTGACGTCCCAGGACATCAGTGGCCTGCGCTGGTCTCTGAAATGGGAAGGAGGCGCCCTGCAGTGAGAATGCACAGCAGACCTACCGCCTCCAGGTGTCGTACCTTGATGAGTGCTGGGGTGGGCTTGGCAGTGGGAGTAGAGGTTCCGTTGGGGAGGCTGGTGGGCAACAGAGATGGAGGTGGGGGCAGCGGCCGCTCTCCCAGGAAGAGGGGTTCTCCAGAGTCGGGGCCTGTCTGCAGCTGAGAGACAGCCTAAGCAGGAGAGCAAGGGAGGTCACATTCCACAAAGGGGGTAGGCCACCTCCCAGGTGGGTACCACTGTTAAAGGGCAAATGGCAGGCAGAGGCCCAAGAAGCAGGGGAGGACGAGAAAAGGAGGCACACAAAATGTTCGTTGGACTGAATTTGGTCAAGACAAGCCACTGCCTGACCTGCTGGCCAGCTCCATACTCCAGTGCCCTAGGAGGTGGCCTCTGGCTCAGCCTCCACTGGGGACCTGCCGCCACCACGACTCCCTGCCCGCACCAGGGCCCTTGAGCCAGAAACTGACCTTGGGGAGCAGAGCACCAGGGGAACAGCTGAAGTGGAAGCTCACCTGTGTGGGGGACACAGAGATGGCACTGGAAAGAGCTTCGCTGCCTCGGGCTTCCAAGGGGGACGGCACTGAGCCCTGTGACTCATGGCTGGCTGGCTGCTCAGGGGATAAGGCATCGCTGCTGTCCTCATCAAAGGAAGAGTTGTCTGCGACCTTTGGGTAGTTCACCTGGCCCACTGAAACCCAGAGCCAGCATCAGGGAGCGCCAGGAGGCCGGCAGAGGAAAGTCCCCAACCCCAGCAGCAGGCCTGAGGGAGGCCATGGGGGACTCTGGGCTGGAGAAAGGCCCAAGTTCTGGCCC